TAAATTAGACAACCAAAAGTTGTATGTGTGGCTAGTTGTATACTCACCTTGTACAAGTTATGTAATCATAATTAAAAATACAATAAAGGCAATAGCCGCCGATAACTACGGCCTTAGCGAAAGCAAAAAAAAAAAAAAAAAAGTATCTTACTTGATAATAGACTTAAAAAGACTTTTCTATTAACTAACCTACTTATTTTTTTATTAATAAAACTAAATTCTTGTAAAGTTTATCTAAAACTTAGTATCAACTTTATAGTATATTTTTAATATTTTATTATACTTCTGCTTTGTTTTTAAACTTTCAATTTAGATAGTTTAAAAGAATTATAATCTATTATTGATATATTGAGTCTAATTTAATATAATTCAAACTCAATAGTCTAGTTAGTAGTATCCTTATCTAGAAGTTCTTAGCTAACTGGCTTTTTATATTGGTATTTATTTTTTAGATCTAGCTTTTTTAGATATATTGTCAAAAATTTATATTATCTCTTTATTTAAATTTTTTAAATAGGTTTTTGTTTTTCTAATTTTATAGATTTATATAATTACAAAATTTTATCTTAGATTTGAACTACTTAGTACTAGTTTGCATTTTTTTGTATAACTCAAAATTATGCAAATGTCTTATAACTTACTATTTATGCTAATATAACTATAGTTTGTTTTTTTGATATTAAAATATAATTATAGTTACAAGTATCTTATTCCAATTAATTAATGAAAAATAATTATTATAATACAAACAATTGTTCAAATTTTTACCATCAATGAATTTTAAACTTTCAATCTATTACTTGAATGTAACAACTTATTCACTTTACTAAATCACTAAATTCTTTTTTAATATTGTTAATCAAAATATTATTAAAAAAAAATTATAAATAAATACTATTGTAATTGAAATTAAACTAAATTTTATATTACAATAAAAAATTATTTTTTATTATTCAAAATATTTTTTCTATTAGGTACATAATTTCATTAATTGTGGTTGAGCAATTAATTATATACTGTATATTTATATGTAATAAAATATTGCTATAGTATACTTTTTTTTTTAACTTTGACAACATGTTAGTGTTTTTATTAGGTTATAAGTTTTTGCGAATTACGTTATTACAGAAAACTATCTTAATTTAACTTAAACTATAATAGCTACCTAATTACTAACTTCTGACTTTATCCACTACTTTAAAAATGCCCAAATATCATTTACTAGCATTGCCCTATATACAGTTACTGCTGCCATCACTTTAGGGTGATTGGCAAGTTGGCAAGGTGTGCATTTTTTTTTAGCTCGCCAAATAGGAGCAAGACTCTCACCACTATTTGGCGAGCTTAAAAAAGCTCGCTTCGCCAGCTTTTCAACCACTCTGAGTTACTCATAGTCAGAGAGTACTATGTTCAGATTCGAACATACAAGGCAGAATATATCTTCATAACTTAAAATATTATAAGTTTAAATAAAGCGCCAGATTTGTATTTGATATTTGGTAAAACATTGTCAATTGTAGCTATAATTAACATTTTTGATATTCAAAAGTTCAATAGCTTTTTTATTTCAAAAATATATATGGTTTAAAGGATGTCTTTTTTCTTGGAACACCTTTATAAAGTTAGAACATCGATCAAGATCTAAAAAAAATTATCACTATATCTTATACACATTTAGTATTTAAATTTCGTAAAATTTTGAAAAAGTGCTATTACGATCATGAAATAAACTTTGTATAGCTATATATATACTTTACATTTTTGAATGCTTTTACATTGCTAAAATGTTATAAAAGTTTACAATGTAAACAAAAACCAAGTTAAATTTTATTATAAACATATTATAACACCTTACCTTTGATACATCTAACCACTTTTAATATGCTCATGAAAAAGTGACAAAAAAAAGTAATAATCAAATAAGGTAAACCAATTTCCAATTATTTAACTTAGTCAATTGGTAACCTCCATTCCAAAAAACAAAGTCTTCGATATTCTTCTTGATTAGGTGGTTTTAATTCCCTATTTTATAATTAGGGTCAGGAACAACGTTTTTAAGTTATAATTGTAAAATTAACTCATCAAAAAAACTTTTGAAGTAAAAGGATACGGGTTTGAAATATATTTTAACAATTCTTCAAGTGCTTCAGTTTGCTTAATTGCAATTTTCATATTGCTCATTTTTAAATAATCGATAAAATCCTCATCTTGATTCATTTCATCAAACTCTACAACTTCATTAACATCCTTTTGCCCTTCAAGGGAGGACGACTTTATTTCATTAAACCTTTTGTTAACATCGAAGAGAAAGCTAACAATTTGAGGATTGTGCTCCCGTAAATTACGGCAAATTATATATCTATAAAAAAATAAATATTAGAATAAAGGTCTAGTAGTATGCAACATCGACATTTGAACAAACCGTTCAGAATTTGCAGGTCGACTTGATAGGGGCTTAATAATACATATTTTTTCGAAATGACGATATAAGATCCATACCATCCCAGCAGTAAAAGGAGTAAAAACGTCAAATAATTTTAAAACAAAATCACCATCTGAAGAGGTAAAGTTACAAATAAGAAATATATTAAACCATAGAAATAACAAGTTTATCAGAAATTTGTTTACTCTTTTGCAAAGTCATAAACATTGTAATTATCTGACATAATATAAGTTGTTTTAAATGATGTTCTTGAAGACGTTCACGACCTCGAACATCGAATCCCTAATAATAAATATTAATTTTATTCATTAATGAAAATGAATAATCAAATGTAAAATGTTAATATAGTTACCCCATCAGCAGTAACCAAGTCAGCACCTTCATTTTTAGTCCCCATCATCACCTCATTTGCGAAATGTCGAATATTTTCTTCCTTATAAAGATTACCTACATCAATAATCTATATTATGATAGTACTATAAAGTGGACACGAACATAAACGATCTAAAAACATACCGGTACCATCCGCACCATAAGAATGTTTAAAACATTCGCGAACCTTAGCATCTGTTATGAATCTATTTAAATCATAATCTTGATCACCAGTCAAGGTAATGCCCCAACCGTAAACCTTTTCACCATAAGAATGTTTTCTCCACAATATATATTCTAATGGTAAGATGTTCAGGTAAATAAGTAAGACTTAAAACAAATGGTCAGACCATTATCTATTAAAAACCTGAAAATCCGCCGGGCCCTCCACATAAATCTGTATACCAAAATACCTACACGGTAAAAGGTTAATTTTTTGATGCAATTAAAAGATAAACTTACGAAAATTTTATAATTACCAGATCTTTTACTGGATCGTATCTTTTTACACCGGTAAAATTGACCAATGCATCCAAACATGCTAATTTAGAAGCAGATCGATTCATGAAAATCGAGTGACCGACTTTTTCATAAGGATTGGATTTTCCACGAGCGGCTGTAAATTGTTCGTATGGGATATTTTTAAGGGCTTTCTAAACAATAATAACAAAGTTAATTAATAAGAATTTGAATATTTATTCTAATTGGAATTACCTTTTTATCGAGAAGTAATTGCACAACAGCTGCTTCACAAAATTGGTTATAATCTGGTTCAATAATCTTTAAGATGTGTATTTTTAATAAATAATAAGTAAATTGAGCATAGCCAAAATTGTATATATTAAGGACTTACAGGTTCTACTATAATCTTTAAACCATTAATAGATTTTCCTTCTTCATATTGAATTTTGCAAGATAAAAAATTAGCACTTTGTTTTTGAATCTCAACGGGAGTTAATAGTTGCTGATTTGAAAGGTCATTTGAAGGAGTACACATATGCATAGAAGGAGTAGAAGATATATGAGGTGCTGAATGATAACTATTATGACCATAATAGTTTTGTTGGTATTGAGCTGGTCTATGATGCTGCTGGGATTGTAAAGGAGGACATGTTTCAAGTGTAGGACGAGGAATTGGGGAAACTAATGGAGTATTGCGATACTCGGGATCTTCGTCTTTGCATTTTTTTAACAGAATGAGGAAAATTATGAGGCATATTTACGATTAAGTTAGTATTTATCGGTATATACGTTACAACTTACCAGTATATGGGCCGTGGTTCATAGTTTGAATATAAGTATGGCGCTTGGATACAATTGCAAATCAGGGTTTTTATTTAATTGTGAAACACAATAAAAGTGAGACTGTCCCTAATGTGGGGGATGGCTAAAGCCATGTATCCACGTGATTTTGACGTTTTAATCGATTTAATTAAAATTAAGGTTAGGATTAGGGTTAGCTTGGTATGGGTAAATTGCCTTCCCGACATTTCGTAATTCTGGTTGGTTGATTTACATAAAAAAGTCATGTGGGTACTGGCTTTAGATGACCCACATAATTGGGGGACGTCTAAAGCGGAGGCAACTCATATTTAATAAAGTTTTCGATTAACTTTAGGGTTAGGGTCTCCTATATCTGGGTTAGTTTAGGTTTTAGGTAGTTATATATATGCAAAATTGCCTTCCCGGCATTTTTAATTAATCTATCCAAGACAGGTTTGGACTGCCGTTTTTTGTATTTTCGGGTTTTCGTTTTGATTTGTTTCGCCGGCGATCATCAAATTCTATAATTTGATTGGATATTGATCACGTGCTTTGTCTCCGCTTTAGACGACCCCCAATGATTCCGATATGGTTACACGCGATTTTCAACCAATCATATCGTGAATTTTGGCAATTGGCCAATAAGATTGCAAAAAAGCTACCAGAACTTTTTATTCCATATTTGAGACGGTCTTACCCGTTCATTTTTGGAGGTACGTACGTACATAACGATAAATTATGTTTTGAACCGTTTAACCGTTTAAAAATTGCTCCATAGAATTATGTTGGTGAATTATTTTAATGCCGACCAAATTAAACGGTTAAACGATTAAAAGATTAAGAAAAATTTTAGGCGGTTCCAATCCCTAGACTCGCCAAACAGATATTTTTCATACCGTATCGTCGCGAAATAACGCCCTGGGGCGTTATTTCGAGATATATTGCTTGAAGAGAGCTAATAATTAATTTAGGCGAAGACTTTTAATAATCAAAATTTATGATTTTCATTCGTTTAAATTAATAATTAGCTCTCTTCAAGCAATGTATCTCGAAATAACGCCGGGGTGTTATTTCGCGACGATACGATAACGATATTGTTAAACAGAAATCTGTCGATAGCTAAAGATCTTTCATTAGTAATGATTTATAACACAAATAATAAGCATAGTGGGCTTTATCATGATTGGCTAATTTTTGAAGATCATCTCATCATAATAAAGTCTCGGGAAACTACTCCTTCAGTTCTATAAAATACCAAAGTAATTTGGTAATTGACGAGGTAATTCGGAAGTTCAATGAGAGGTATGTTTAGGAGTTTCAATTTAACCAATATAATCTAGACTGATAAATTTAAGTCATTTCAAAAAGTTTACAACGCTAATCTATCTTATCTATAACATTTATTTTTCTAAAGACAGACACGTACTGCCAGTAAATAGATTAGTGACATGAAGTATTGAAAGCATGAATATGCGAGCTTTATGAGAGGTTAAAATAGTGATACGTCTAAGATTATTAAAGAATAGTGTTACGTTCAAGATTAGTAATTTAGAAGTATTACTAATTCATTAATTAACTGTTATGATTATGTACTATTAAAAAAGTTACTTATATGGTTTTTTATTGTCTCTTAAAATAAATGGTTTATATTTTTTGTTTTTCGAGCTTTTATACATATTTTTTTTAAAATTTGTGTAATAATACTTTTTTTAAATAAGATCTTGGAATTTGTTTGTATCGGGATGATGGTTTTAGATTTTAAGTTGATAGATTTCGTAGTAATGCGTTTATTAATGCCAATTGATTTTATATGGTATTAATAATAATTATATCAGATACAGTTTCATATAAATTTGTTTTGCGATTAATCATTTTGATATTTTTGCAATATCACAGGATGATCTACAAAAATCAGCCAATTACAGTGAAAGCCCACTATGTTCAGGTGTTAAGATATTTGGGGTCAAAGACCCATTTCTTTACTAATTCGTTTTACAATGGCTTCCGTAAATCGAATGATTCTTACTTTATTTACTTCTAAGTCGTGTTCTCTTTGTATCGATGCAAAATATGCGATCGATCAAGTGGGAAAAAAGGTAGTTGTTTTAAATTTATATTACCGAATAAATATTTTTAATAATTATTATTCATTTTATTATTCATTATAGATTCCATTTGATTTAATTCAAAAAGATATCAAACTTTCAGAAAATTCAATTTGGCTTCACAAATACAAATATGACATTCCGATACTTCACTTAAATGATCAATTCTTATTTAAACATAAAGTAAAGCAGGATAAATTAGAGTTAGTACTCAAAAGATTTCAAGAAACTGGTAAAATTCCTTCTGAGTTTGTCGATGAAGAAGTTAAGACAGATTAGTTAGAAAACTTTAACTCAAATTTTCTTTTTTGAATCGCAACCTTCATATGATTGTTACAGAGTAGAAATTTGTGAGCATAATAAATCATTAAGTGTATTTACAAGTTTTCGCTCTGCAACTCATATACAATATTAGGTGTTAAATCATCGCATGTAATTTTGTAATATTATACATTAAATATACGTATATGTACTGGGATGATTATGTATCAGTTTTACAGAATTGCAATCATTGCTCTTTTAAGATATCCATCCTTTGAAAGTTCCACTTTAACCCAGCGGGTAACCAATATAACTGGCGTTAAAATACTTGATTTTTTATTTTTACATAATATGCAAAAATAAATTTGACCGAGGCTACAGCTAGTTAAGGGCTGGGTTTTAAGGAACCAAACCGGACCAGGTTTTTAACATTCAGTTTATAAATTACAGAATTATGACATAGTGAATAGTGATAAAATATGGGGATTTCTATTTGTACCCTATGGGTATGATACCCAGTATAAGAAATCAAAATTCAAATTCTATTAGCATTAGGAAAACTAGTGCTGGTATCTAAGTAAAAATGTTCAAGCCTAACTTTACATACGTATAAATACATCTTTAACATACTCTAACCTAATCTATAATGTCGTGGATTATTGTGAAATCGGATCATTGTAAAATTTGAGGGTCCCAATTTGAAAATATAAGCCCTACCAAAATCCACCTATACACTTATTAATAAATCTTCCCTAAATCCCAACTCAACTATAAAAAAAAAGCTGACAAAAAAGGACCCAAAATTTCATGATATACAATATTTTTTTCTTTATACCGGATACCATACCCTATGGGTATTTTTAGAAATTTTTAAAATAAAATACACTTTTTCCGTTATATAGCCATTCTTGATAAAGTTACAATCTTAATATAATATCCCTATTTTTAGCTAAAAATTTAACCAAGAGAAACTGAAAAAATTAGTTAAGGGTAGTTCGCAACCGAAGGGCTAAAAAATAATAAATTTCATAGTAAACAAACCCGGAATTTAAAGTACTTTTTATACAGTACAGGAATGGGTATAAAATCATTTTTTATTAAGTAAATCTTAGTAAACAACAGGAGCACGGTCTGATGATGAAGTAGTTGGCCAACCATAGAACGATTTTATATCCACGTGATACGCTTTCGGTGAAAAACTACCCCAGTATCCAGCCAGTTCTTAGGGACGCAAAACATACATTTTTGATACTCCTATACCTACTTTTTTATGCATCTAAACATATACTAAAATTAATCAGTAAGATCGCACGTTATTATAGTAAAAGTTAGTAAAAAATATAGAAATTTTAGAGTATGTTTAGATATATCAAACAAGTAGAAGCACAAGTATCAAAAATGAATGATTTGCCTTAGGGCAAGGACTTGATTTATGTCGATATTTTGCAATTTTTAATGCGGTGTAACAATACCACTTCGGGCAAAATTAAGTGTATAATTTGGACCGGACAACACAAATTTGGCAACCAGCTTTAAATTGCCATCTAAAAAATTTTCAGATCATGTGATCCAATCATCATAAATATCAACTATTTATTATCGTTATTTTATATGCGTATAGTATATACATATCAAATACAAATTCATTTATTTTGAGAATAAGAAAATTTTGATATTTGAAACAGACATTACAATCTTTATTATTTTATTAAAACAATATATTTGAAATTATTTTTTTTAACAACTATTATTGCAGTTAGAAGTATTATGATTATGATTCTTTCAAGTTTTCAAAATTTGCTTTTGTTATTTAAACCTATTATAGTTCTTAACAAATTTATGCATTGGCTCAAAATTTTTATCAATACTATTAAGTTACTTATTTTTATTTGAATTTGTTTTATTTTTTTTAAGTATTTTATTTGTTTCTTAAAAAAAATTAAATTTTAATTATTAGTATTAATTCTAACAAAATTTTCTTTATTAAATTTAATCATGTTATATTCTTTTTTTTTTTTTTATAATGCCAAATTATAATTTATACTTTATTTAGTTTTTTGCATTACTATTATATATAGTTATATTACATTTGTATTACTAGATTACTTTTAGCTCTAAACATTCAATATGACATTATACTTATATACTTTGTTTCATAGTCTTCATTATATATTTTAATTATTATTACTAAATTACTAAAAAGGTTGTAGATTATTTTGTTATACTTCTAATTTTTCTATCTGTCTATTATCTGCAGTAACTCATCTTTCTTTTAAATTGGTTAACTCGGTCAGTTTTTTGTTTTTCTTGCTACTAATTTAATATATACAGTCTAATTTATTTTCTAGTATCTTGATGGCACAGCTGGATTTATCAAGATCTGAATTATTAATCTGCAATTTACTACATACTCTTTTTTGAATGTATTTCTATAGTTGGTTTAGTCTATGACTTGATCACATGTGCTTCTTGCAAACTTTTCTATAGGTGTATCATTGACTATATACTAATGTACTATTAGCTTGATGTTACAAGAAGGCCTAAAACCTTGATTTATTATGTATAGATATGATGCCTATTATCTAAGTTATAATATATAACTGTTTGGATAGTACTTTTTAACATTACTTTTAGAAATATCTGTCTAAGATATTCC